TTCAAGTGACCTGGTGACCTGACCTTGAATGACCTTGGTCTGAAATTTTCACAACATGTGTAGAATTGATGTATGATAAGGTGTACCAAAAACGGCGGCGCTCCGCGCCGCCGTTTTTGAGATATTCGCGAAAAACCACAGGGGGGGGTGTTCAAACACCCCCCCCCCAGCAGGGCGCGGGTTAAGTCAGAAAATATTAACAATATCTTTTTTGGCGAAATTTCGGAGTTATCCTGTGTAACGCATGGACGACGGTGCTTGAGGTCACAATTCGACGTTGTTCATTCCAAAATTATCTCATCTTCCAATGCCCAATGGTGGCCCTTCAAAGGTGATCTGTCTGCCAACAAGTACTTCTGCCAGCCGGTGACAAGTACTTGCACAAATATCTCTGCAAGCTCTTTGCCTTTACATTGGCTAGCGACACCAAGAGACATTTGATGTTTGCCAATGAATACCCCCCGATGCCAGTTAGTGCCCCGTATCGCCGCTTCAACTTTACGTGGCTGAATGATGATAATTTGAATTTTTTCGCTAGAATATCTCTAAATAAGAGTTAATCCGTAATTCCAACGTAAATATACCAAGGACGTAAATAGACCTCCGCGCTGCAGCAATTTATGCCTAAATTTGTGTGGTACATATACTTCAAATAATTTTAATTTGTTTTAGTGCTGAGAATTATTGCAATTGAAATTTGAACGCCCAATGGGGTAAAAAACACACATAGTTTGGCTGGCCTGCGCCATCACTGCCTTCGAGAGCTCGAGTGCGAATTTTACCATAGTGGTGGGAAAAACTGGCGATCCTGGTATTTGCTGAGTTTTAAGTACTTAACTTTTAAATGGCTATTTCTTTAACCCGTGCCCCACTGGGATCTGTGTATAACACGCCCCACTGGGGGGGGGGGGGGCTATTCATAGCCCCCTCCTAACTCCGAAACTACTGGGCCGATCGTCAAAATTCAAACAGCATCTGATAGCCCCGGAAAACTGCCGCAAGAAACCTAATTTCATTGACCTCGAGGTCACCGATGACGTCACAGGTCAGGTCAAAGTAAAACTTATCGATATTTGGCTTGTTCACATTTTGGGCTCTGGCTGCCGTCTTACAAGTCAGATCAGGCTGATTTTTGGTTTACATACTCGTGAACAGATGCTTTAGATACCCTGAGGTTACGAAACTTGTATTTTGATTTTCAGGTCAGGGTCAGGGCATCATAGGTCACGGAAATCTTATGTCATAAGTCGGTCACGTGACACATGTTTTATGGTCCATTTAGGCCATAGATTTCGAATTCGGTGTCGCCCGTGTCATTTGGGGTCATTGTCATATGAATATAGCTGAGGTCAGGTCACTTTCAGGTCAAAAAAGGTCAAATTTCAAAGTTGAATTTTTTCAACAAAAAACATATCTATCGGATGCAGTTTGAGCTCAGGAACACGATGGTGCTACTTTTATTGGTGTACGATGTCAAATTGGTACATAAAAAATGATTGTAAAAATTTAAAATTGTGAACTTTTACTAAAATGCGTATAACTTAGCCAATTTTGAAGGTATCTGACTGAAAATTGCTAGAGTAAGTCATAAGCATGTGTTCTATCACATATATTCCGGTTTTTTCGAAGAGTCAAAAATTTTGAAATAAAGATAATAACACACATTTTGAATTTTAATAAAACTAATTTTCAAAATTTTCAAAATTTTGAAAATTCGAGATAGCAGTTTGATAGCGCAGTCTATTCTGAGTCCCCTCATGCAAAGAAATTGGATCTAGCTCAAAAACTGAGCTCCTGGGAGCGATTTCCGTGGTTCAATGTTTTGCGTCGAAATTGGCCGAACATGACGTCACTCTGACGTCATTTCCGGCCGTTCTATGATAGATACGAAGTTCATATTTTGACACAAGGTGTCAAATTGATTCAGCCGAAGGTACTGAAAGTTTTGCGGCGATACGTCAAGCGGTTTAGAAGTTATTGCAGAAAAACGGAAGGGGGGGGGCTATGAATAGCCCCCCCCCCCCAGTGGGGCGCGGGTTAACCCGCGCCCTGCTGGGGGGAGGGTGTTTGAACACCCCACCCCCACCCCTGCAGGTTTTTTAAGCTGTTTTTTGGCACACCTTATCATACATCTTTTCGCACATGCTGTAAAAATTTTATCCCAAGTTCACCCTAGGTCAGGGTACCAGGTCACTTCAAATGACCTCACCTAAAAAGTTTCAATTAGAGTTGCAAAGTTTTCCCCAAAGGCTGCTACCGGCACCGCCCCGCCCCACAAAAATTTCCTGGGATACCGGCATGCTACCACGCCCCAAGCAAAAAAACCGCCAAATTACCGGCATACTAAAAAACCTGCATTCTTGATTCTAGCTTACCCCTGCAAGAGATGCCACATTTTGGCAGTTTCAGTACCCCTCCCACCCAACAGCCATCCATTGTCCAACCACAAATACCAGCAGGCTGATTTTGGCTGAGTTGGCCCCACAAATACCCAAAATTTTGAAACTCAATTCCAGTCTATAGCTGTTAAAATATCACCCGTAATCAAAGAAGTATTGCCTACAAAAAACTATTACGTTCATCAAAAAGGTGTGGACAAAAAGGACTTGAATTACTGAAATGTGTTTTGAAGACTGGACAGTGAGCAGTAATCACATTTACATTTCACAGGTGTTCTACTTTTCCATATTCTCCTAAAATGTTGCAGGCACCAGCCAAATGTTTAAAATCTAGATGGTCAAAACATAGGTAAGCAAGTAGGTACAGATTCGGCCATCTTCCTAACTGAGGAGGCGAGATCAACATCTACTTTTTCCTATCCACTATGGCTTGCTGGTTCGTGAATAAGATACGAATCATGTAAAAAATGTGTTAATAACTCACTGGTCCTGAGAATAGTCACCAAATAATATGTATAAAAACGATATCTTCCATCCTCTCCAACCTCAAGCGGGAACAAACACAAGGGCATCGATTTCGAAACAGATGCGCCATAACAGAGGCTTTTAACCAGCTGATTAAAACGCTGCAAAAAATGTTTAACGACTGCAAGCCACCGCCTCGTGAATGATAATATTGATAAAAATCATCCAACACAATATTAAATTATAATGAAATCAACATTGTAGTGTAATTCACTACAAAGAAATTCATTTCTCTTCAGTTATTCAGCCAAAAGGGTATATGAATAAATATTACGTCATCAGATTACATCCATTCATTAGGGGAGAGAGAATCTTAAAAGTAAATCCTTGGTTGTCTAATTATTGCGCCACTTTGTGTCAATTTTGCCTGCATGATGTGTTTTCTTGTAAAGATAAGACAAAATGCCAGTTCAAATCCATTTTCATTTAATTATGGGACCAAAGTCAGGCTCAGGGCTACCTAACACCTGCCTTTTCAGCTGGATTTTCAGTGTCAAATTCTTTGTAGAGTTTCTCAGACCACATCTCATGATCTCAGGACTCAAGGCCAGTTTCCAAACATTGTGTTTTTTGGTGTTTTGATTCTGCCTTTTCCCCTAGGGAATGTTGTCATGAACATTTATTTATTTTATTGTGCTATACGTATTACCTACCATTAGACTTACTAGTTGATCGTGCTTTTGCAACATGAATGAGTATTCTTCCTTTTATAGACCACAGTAGATTCTTGACAATTCTTATGATAACCAAGCCTGTGAATTGTGTGAAATGCTGAGGTCCATGTGTTACCCCTACACTTAGCAATGGAACTTCTACCACAAAATGTATCTTGCAGTGGCTAGCTAATATTGCTGTTACTACAATTTGAGAGCCTCTTAGTGTCCAAAGTTTGAATCATTTGCTGATAATTTTTTTGCACAAAATCAAAAATACCGGCATGCTACCGGCAAGACATGCCAGATACCACGAATAAACCTGCGGTAGTGAAAAATTACCGGCATGCCGGTAGTGCGGTAGGAAAATTTTGCAACTCTAGTTTCAATGCCTGTCATAGCTATACCGAGTGACCGATCGCTTTGAAACTTTCAGCGATTGATAAATGAAACAACGTGTACAAAACGTATATCACGAAATTTCGATATCGATGACCTAAGGTCAGGTCATTTTTTAGACCTCTATTATAAGTCAATGGGAGAAAATTGAAAAGCGCCTCTTTTAGACGAACACCATTATTAACATTTTCAAACACTTAATTATGAGTAAACATGACACGATAAACCGGAGAATGGCACCCGTGACCCCTCGTTATGTCCCCGAGTTCATCTCAGGTCACGAATGGTATCTAACAGTTTTTCGCTCATTACTCCTGATAGAGGCAAGCTAGAGCGATGAAAACGCCTTAGATGTGTTTGGCTCGACGATATGATATGAAACCTGACCTTTGCGGTCAGGTCATGACCTTGACCTGGGGTCAACTTTCAAAATTGACCTTTGAAGGTCAAATTATAGTACATTTGACGCGTCTCGACGAGAGGAACACGATGCTGGCAAAAGTAATGTCGTGTCTCTCTTGAGTCAAAAGTTATTGAATAAAAATATTTTCCTATAAAGCGGCTATTTTGGGAGTATTTGCCACCTGGAGGCTAAACTGTTGACCTGAGGTCAAATCTGAGAACATTATTCAGAAAGGCCTGTAAAAGAGATATCGAATGCGCTTTTTCAGCAGCGCTGTAGCTCTATTGGTTCCCGAGTTGTCCCTTGGCAGTTTCGAAAAATGTTGAAATAGCAAAATTTGACCTTTGATGACCTCTGGTGACCTGACTTTTGACCTGACCTAAAAAATCACTGAAGTATTTTCGTCATGGTTTTTGACTTTTTTTTTAATGTCGCTTACCGCGTGTCGCTACGTGGCCCAAGGGCCGAGTTGGGGGGGGGGGGGGGATAGAAAGCTTTATGGAAATTACAAGATGGCAGCTCTGCAAACAGCCAAATATGCCCGAACTAATAAACACCCGTGCTAAACCTTTGCAGGTGCATTTATGTCCAAATTACTAGCTGGTGCTTTCATCTTTTCAGGTGGACTTCAAGCAGATCTGTCCAGTATGCCGCATTAGCTGTGAAAACATACACCTAACCGCCAAACATATCAGTAGAGAGCATGAGAACTGTACTGGGTTTTCTGTAAAATGTTTGTACTGCGCGAAAGTGTTCTCGCATGTTAAAAAATGGAAGAGGCATGTGATCGAAGTGCATGTTCGTGGTGGCATCGTTGTGTCCTCTCAGCATAGTTTCGTATGTCCAAGCACATCACGTGGAAGTGTATCGACTCAGACTGTTGACACAGAAGTGGGCGCCGTCATCGAGCGAGACAATTGTCCTGATATTCATGCTAGTTGCGCTGATACCGCTGCCCAAAAAGACGATACTTGTACTGGCAATCAGGGGCTCGAACATCCGGCAAATTTTCTGCTAAAACTGAAATCGTCCGGTCTCAGTGATAAGCACTGCGATTCGTTGGCGGATTATTTGAAAAAATATTCGTACAAAGTTGCTAGCGAATGTGTCAGTAGCATCGCCAAAGGGGACAATCCCGACCTATCAAACCTACCGTCGCTCAAGGCTCTCGATGAAGTCCGCTCTTCCGCTGCATGTGGCAAATACGCTTCACGTAATCTTCTATGTGTGAGCCCCTGTGAAGTATTACTTGGGAAGTCTGATGCTGGGAAGTCGCTGTCTTTTCAGTATATATCGCTAACATCACAGCTGCAAAGCTTGTTCGCCAGCAAACGTTTCCAGGAGCACAATCTCCTTGAATCGGAATCCAGGTCAAACTTGGGTGTTTACAGGGATATATTTGATGGAACTTGCCACCAGAGGGAACAAAATCGGATTTCATTGATACTCTTTTTTGACGAATTTGTTGTTTCCTGCCCGATTGGAAGTCATTCAAAGCAGTACAAGCTGGGCGCTGTTTATTGCTGTATTGCCAACTTGAACGAGAACAGGGCTCACGCAGATAACACACTACTTTTGCTGCTCTTTCAAACAAAGTATTTGGAGAAATATTCGTGGGATGTGATACTAAAACCATTGATAGATGAGTTGGTGACTCTTGAACAATGCGGAACGATATTGGTCAATCGAGGAAATCGTGTTCCTGTGAGCGTTCGCGTTGAGTTCATTTGCGGCGATAACCTAGGCATTCACAGCATTGCAGGCTTTTATGCATCGTTTTGTAACACGAACAGACTTTGTCGTGCCTGCTACATATCCCCAGTTGAACTTAAGTCATGCTTTGATGTGAGTCAGCTCCGGCCACGCACTCAGGAGTTGTATGCCTACGAGCTTAGTGTTTTAGAAAAGAACCAGTTCTCCAAAGCTCACTGCAAACGATTTGGAATCAACTTTCCATGCCCTTTCCGGGAGCTAAAGCAATTCCACGCTGCTGACTTCTTCCCATTCGACATTGTTCATGACTTGTTCGAGGGTGTCGTGAAATATTGCATTAGTTTGGTCCTTACTGCAGGAGTGCAGCGATCACTTCTTAATTTGAATGCCTTGAATGGAGTAATTGCCACTTTTGCGTTTTCACCGCTGGAGGGAAACAAGCCTGTGACGCTGCAAAGAAGTGGTGGCACCGTGTGTGTTGGGGGTACTGCTTCTGAAGTGTGGACATTGTTGCGTTTTTTGCCCTTGCTGCTGTCGGAAGCTAACAGCGGCTTGTTAGATGCCCCTGAATCCGAAGTGCTCAGAGGTCTTATAGTTATAGTTCAGTACGCTGTTTCGCCTGTGTTGTTTGAAAGTGACCTTGTAGCGTTTGAGAAGCTTGTTAGTGAGTGGCTGACACTTCTGACGTGCACATTCGTAGACTTTGTGCTGACCCCAAAGTTTCATTATCTGCTGCATTACGCGAGTCAGATAAGAAAGCATGGCCCCTTGCGTTGCTGCTGGACAATGCGTTTTGAAGGAAAGCATCAGAATTTGAAGTCGTTCCTGGCTCGCTCAAAAAATAATCGTAATGTTTGTAAAACGATAGCTTCTCGGCACCAGCGGTTCATTGCTGTTCGGCATAACGCGCCTCAACCCAGTGCCGTATCGTCACGAAAGTCGTTCAGCCGAAAGAACAAGGCGAGTTTTCCTGTAGCTGTTCAAACACTTGTCGCGCAAAATGGTCACCCGGTTTGGAAATCCGTGACGCACATGAATACGGAGTATACAGCCGGCAATGTGATCTTGGTGAAGCGTGATGACACTGTTGTGTTCTGCCGAATCCTGTGCGTGTGTTCAAAGGACGATGACGTACAGTTTGTAGTTCGGTACTGTGGCAACTCAGATTTGTCTCATGTGTCGTGTGTTGAACTTGAGATGCAAGAACAATTCGAAAGTGTGCGCCCCGAATGTCTGGCTGATTATCTGCCGCTTGCCTGTTATAGCATCTGTGAAAAGGAGTTGGTAGTGCTCAAGCACAAACTTTCTTCGAACCATGTACGAGTACCTAGTTAGCCAGGGCATGGTAAAAAAACTCGTTCGTGTGCGTGAAAAGAAACACTTGGTACAGGCTATTGGCGAGGCGTTTGGTGTTGATGTGGAGGACTTGATGGTGCGATACTACGTGGCTGCATTCGACGACTACGTTGATCTGGATAACGTGGCAGAGCTTCCTGACCAGTGTCGGCTGCAAGTCCACCTCCGTGTGACGCCGGAGGCCCACGCACATCTACTACGTCAAGGAGACACGGTCCTTGTGCTGCCAGAACAGGCCGTGTTTGCTTCAGGACCAGCCACGTTTGCGCCTGGGCCATCGTCGGAGCCCACGCCTGGGCCATCATCCGAGCCCACGCCCGGGCCATCATCCGAACCCACGCCTGGGCCATCATCCGAGCCCACGCCCGGGCCATCATCCGAGCCCACGCCTGGGCCATCATCCGAGCCCACGCCTGGGCCATCATCTGAGCCCATGCCTGAGTCAGCCCTCGCTGGAATGTCGGACTACACCAGGACCTTCGACAGGTATTCTTCTCTCAAATAGTATTTTAATGTATTAGCTTATGTTTTTTTTTTGCCATGATGCAGGATAATACATATGCAAAAACGATCAATAACGTGGCACATACATGTTCAGAACAAAGCCGCAAAAATGGAACAGGGTTTCGTCAGTGGAAAGATTATTTCATTTTTGCGGCTTTGTTCTTAACGATTATTATTAATACCTATATGCCATGATTTCGATCCTTTTTGCATATTTATTATCATGTTTAATTACATGTTATATGGTAGTATATTTATTATATGTCCGTATATTATACGCATTGTTCACTTTTTTCTCGACGTGTCCTTACTTTTTTTTTACAAAACTCAATACAATCTTCATTGTCATCACCAAAGTCAAATCCTAAGAAACTGGTGAGAAGCGCGGTTTTGAAAAGGCTCATTTTGCAATTATGTGCACCATATGGTAACATAAATACCACACTTAGGTCCTTGCTTAGGTCGGAACAAGCAAGGAACAAGGTCGGAATGATTTCTTGAGTACCTTGGTCGTTGTTTGATTTTCCACCCTCGGTCTTCGGCCTCGGGCGGAATATCAACAACGACCTAAAAAATCATTTACCGGTCCCGTGTGGTATTTTATCATACCTGACCCTCCTTCCCACTGGATAGAACGTATAGGTACATTGCGCAATTGCCATTCAAAGCGCTTTTGTTTTGCAGCCCGATGTCCGGTTCTGGAATATCGCCGAATGCCGGTAGCTCCACGCCAGTCCAACTTAGTCCAACGTCTCCGACGGCACCAGAGCGTGTGTAAGTACATGTTGGTGACTTAATTCCCTCCCGTCAAGGTGGTTGATGCGCACTCCACACCTGATGTTTTTCGTAGATTGCATAAAAACGGCGGTGTTGTGCCAAATTTGACATAGCCTATTGGAGGGGGGGGGGGGGTAACCTTTCCTTTGTATATGTGACCTAAAAATGTTATGTCCGGCTGAACTAAGGTCAATGAAAAAGATAAATGTTGGGGCCAAATTTCAACTGCCTTCATGCATCCCTGCCACACAAAATTTTTGGCCGATATCTTTTAAACTCTCATGATGTGCTTATATAGTTCACTGAGCTGTATAGGGTGACGGGTGTTCCAAAAAAAAACTGAGCCTATAAGCTAGATTATAATATAGTTAATATACTTAAGTTAACCAGCGCCGTGCTGATGGTTTAGATTTTCCGTCGAGTGCTGGGGGGAGGGGGGAGGTTTTACGTCCCCCCTCTAACCCGGCTCTTGAGCTACGTAGCGACACGTGGCAAGCGGCATTCGGAAGTTCGTCAAAAAACATTACGAAAGTAGGTACTTTAGTCAGTTTTTAGGTCAGGTCAAAGGTCAGGTCACCAGAGGTCACCAAAAAATGTTACCGATTTTTCCCGATTTTCCAACTTCAGAAGCTGCAGCTCATGAACCAAAAGACTAGAGCGGCGCGGGAAAAGGCAAACGATAGCCCATTTCAGCCCTATCTTAAAATTTGACCACACCCTATGCGGAAAAGATGCATAATAAGTTGTTGCGCGTCGCCGTTTTTAGATATTCGCGAAAAAACCTTTGGGGGGAGGAAAACGCCCCCCCCCTCCCCAACACGGCGCGGGTTAATATCTGCCCAGCTGCGTGCTCTGCAATTTTGAAAGAAAAAAAACGCTTGTTGAAAAGAAAGGGAAAGTTCCATCCATGTCAGCCCGAAGTTGAAAAAAATTATCTTTAAAGAGAGTAGTCGCGATTGCTAGATGTAAAGTTGTTTAGTTTTTTTTTTTTAAATTTAGTCCGAACCTTTTGATAGGAAGGATCCACAAGGACAGAGCCACCGCTAAGCGAAGCTTGTTGCGATGACACTGCCCTCTACCCTCCGATCGCGCAATGCCAGTTCTATGGCAGAATTTAGAATCCAAAGTTTAACGTGCGCACATAGCCGCGCACCGCCGGTCCCCTCACTGACTTCGCCTGGCTACGGCCTGCCGCCCGCCAACCGCAACCATACCTGTCAGGAGGCCCATAAATGTCAAGCGCTCGTCGCGCTTCGAACCCGGACTGTTATAACCGGGAACGCGTGCTCTCACCACGCGGAGTCCAACGCTCTACAAACTGAGCTACGGGACCGGCAAGATCCCGTAGATTCTTGTTGAAATGGCTCCGTAATTTTAAACGATGCTAAACAGCATCCACTTTTCACGGTGTGTCATTTAAAGTAATGATTCAGATTTCTAATGTGACACCAAACGTCGAAAATGCTAAATAACCCGATCAAACTTCGTAAAGTTGGTCGTTCTTTACTACTTTCAATTCTGAAGTGCGTGAAAGGGAGCGGGACGGCTCAAAGCCACGCTGTCCAGACTTCATTTTTAGGAAACATTTAGGTACCACTGAATGAGCCAAGTGGTAAGAACTTATTACCAATAACAAGGTCACAAGGGTTCCCAAAATGCAAAATGGTAACATTATACTGATCATTTTGCTTACAGACTGCTGAAAGTGTCACTGGACGACATGTCGCCCAAACTGAGGACTACTCTTCAGTGTGGGACAAAACTGAAGAGGGATGACTGGATCGAGATTGGAAACGTCATCTACGAGAAATATGTCGAGAAGTACTCTAACCCGTGAGTAGGCTTCCTCCAACTTGAATTTGCTTAAAAGTGCGCCCGCCCCCCCCCCTCCTTCACGTTGGTTTTGAGATGAGATTGCCAGGTTTGTAGTCAAGCTCAGCAACCATGGCCTTTCCTGGCCATATACGTAGCAATTGCCGATTACCACACTCTGCTGACGGTGTTTGACCCCCGCCCTTCTAACTTTACCCCCAGGCCACCTATGTATGCGTGATGTATGTATGTATGTATGTATGTATGGATGGATGGATGGATGGATGCATATATATATATATATATATATATATATATATATATATATATATATATATGCTATCCTTTGCGTATGTTTTTTGGAAAATTGGGTAAAGATCGGATTTTTTTTGTGAAAATTTGGAGATTTTTTGTACATTTTGGGAAAAATGCATGAAAGTTTTGTGCGAGGATAAATTCTGTCCCCAAACTCAAAGGTCTAGCGATGCCAATGGGCCTAGCGCGGGTTAAACCCGAAAAGGTTCAAAATGCCTCGGGCTTGAATTTGAGCCCGATGCCGGGCCCGTGGGCTCAAGATTCCCACTCATGGGCGTAGGAACCTCACGAAAAGTGTGTGTGGGGGGGGAGGGGGGGGCAGCGAAACTTCATTGTCACTTTGTGGGAGCCCCCAATACCCCTAAAAATAAATTTTTGCAGTTTTGTGCTCATCTTACCTTGTTATACCATTTCCTGCTCTTAGTTTTGTATTCAAATAACAAATGAAGAATTTTCTTTAAAAGTGGTTGGAAAGTGGGGGACCATGCCCCCCGCACCCCCGTTCCTACGCCTATGCCATTACTAGCAGGTAGGTCTGTTGGTAGGCATATTCTTGCGGCCAAATAAACCCTTTTGTTTTGGACGAACGCCTGACTTATGACCTGGGGCGGGAAGCCGAAATAGCTCACGTCCCTGCAACCTACTTTGGGCTCAACAAGCGTTTCCCTTTCATCACTGTTAGAGGGCTAAGCAGTTTTCAGTGATTGTCTTGTTATCCTTGTTTTCAACATCTTCATTCCATTCCTTTTAGGTATCCTAAGAGGTACAGCGACATCGCCTACTGCATTATCCGGCAGATACCAAACCTGGTACAGGACAAAACTGTAGGCGAGACAGCGGTAAGTTGACCAGTGTTGCCCTTACATATTTGCCAAATTTGGTGTTGCCGAGACGCGGATCTTATCGGCAGTTTATTCGGGGGGGGGGGGGGTACCTCGTGAAAATTTTGTTGTGTTACGTTGAGTAATGGTGCAATGTGAGGAAAAAAGGAGTGGGTGGGTTGGAAATATTAACACACGCCGGCACCGGTCTTTTTCCCATCCTCGGCGGCACGGGGGGGAGGGGGGTACGAATCCCTTCGCGTTGGCCCCCTGATAGAGCTAGAGCTTCGCGAAAAAAAAACGAGCGCATCGGCCGTTACGAGAGGAAGCCGACGGTATACAATGGCCTTTGGCCCATCGGTGACCTTAGAGGTCACTGGTCACTGGTCAGGTCAAAGCCTCGTATCGGGACTAGCTGAAGCCACAGAAGACAAAGACCTTGTAGCGCTATGACGTCGACCAAAATGCGTCAATCACTGCCAAAATAGACTAAAAAGTATCAACTTTGAAATTTGACCTAATTTGACCTGACCTTGACCTGACCTCCACCAAAACATAACATTAACTGGCCCCAAAGGCTGCTTGACCCACATAATCGCATTTGTCATGTAAAATGGACCATAAAACATGTATCACACGACACTTTCATATTGTGACCACCAGTGACCTGATCTCTGTAACCTGACTTGGTATCTGTGACCTCAGATAGCAAAGTATGTGTTTGACGAACAATGTACCATCGATGGTTTTCAATAACTTACCAATTTACTCGATTTCACAACACATTTCTTGAAATGCCTGTGAACGGTGAAAATCCGACCTTTGACCTGACCTGTGACGTCATCGGTTTGAACTAGGTCAATGAAATTTGGTCACAAGGTAGTTCCCCGGTGGGGCTATCGAGCGCCGTTTGAATTTTGAACATCGGCTGGTAAACTTCCGAGATCTTGGGGGGGGGGGGGGCGAAACGCCCCCCCCCCCTACTATCGGCGGTAGGGTCCGCCGATAGCCCTACGGGGCGCGGGTCAATATTTGACATTACTCTCATGAGCGTTCTATGAAAGCTGATCTTAACGGATCCTCCATTTTCCTATAATTCAGGTATGCCTGCCTACATCGTAATTCATGAGCACAGCTCTTCATTTCACTTTGAGGCTGAAAAGTATACAAATAGAGAACAACTGTGTGGTCTTGCCTACAGGAACTAATCGCTGAAAAGTTGGCCACAAAGTTCCGCAACAAGCGGCGGAGACTGGACTCCTCTGCCTCAAATCTGGGCGTCCGCAAGCCGGTGCGGTACGGGATGGGGCTGCCGCAGTACGCCCCCGCTTTTGAAGACAGTCAGCGCCTAGAAGTGCAGCGGGCGGTGGAGCAGCTGCAGACAGTCAATGGCCAGGAGGCCATCGATGGCCTGATGCAAGACACCTTCGCCGACCGCAGACACCTGATAGTTAGGGAAAAGGTGTCAGTGGCGATTATCAAGGAGCGCTACGGTGCGCTCTTCAGCGTTTACCAGGTACATTGAACTGGCTTACAATAAATAGCATTGGTCGTTGTTCAATGATTTTTAGTTGACGAAGTTAATGCATGGATATAGCGTAAAACCATTCTTAGTATCGCGATAGTTGAGTCAGCGCCGCCCAGTATCGACCGATCGCCATGTGTAAAGTGTTATTGCGGGAAAGTATAAGCCCAGCCAAAGATTTGACTGCGTTTTCGATAGCCCCGTTTTACCTGCCTCTTTCCAATAGGGTTACTGAGTACTGACTCTGGTGTTTCAGCTCTGGATGGAGCTAGAACGTATGGCCGGCCGCAGTCTGCGGCGGGAAAGTGAACTCCTGTGGGCACGTTATCTGACGGCAGCACAAGAGGTGCTTGGCTGTTCCGACATCGGTGAGTTGGATTTGCCGACATCCCCACTGTTTGTACTACTCCCTCCTTGCCTTGTTGTGAAGGCTCACATTTATACACTTGTCGGTAGAGTTGATGACAGGGCCAAGGACGTAGCCAAATGGGTCACGGGGCCATGTCCCCCCCCCCCGAGAAGGAAAAATAAAAATTTAAATAGCTGCGCTACACCCCCAAAAATAGTGAGCCCAATCCGAAGTTTTTCTTTTTAGAGGGAGTACCCTGGCTAGTGGCCCCTGGTGCCCCCCCCCCCCGAGCAAAATCCTGGCTACGTGTTTGGACATGGGGCACTCCATCACTCCCCGTCCCATACCAATTCCATGCCCGCCCCGGCCGTCCCAAGTGCCCTTTCCATTTGCAGTTTTCCCTAAATATGTTAAATGCATGTTTCTTTTCAGATCGCGTCCCGAAGGCCATCGCCTGGGCACTGGGCGACGCCCTGGATATCTATCGCAACGATGGCGAGGGTCCTGGTGCTGTGGTGGCCGGCGGCACTGTCTTCGTCGATGGAGTAGAGGTGGCGGAAGTGGGAGAGAGGGACGCTCTCCTCGTATGGGCCGTGGCCCTCTTCGTCTTCTCGCTCAAATACCCCACGGGCTCTCGGTCCACCGGGCGCTATCTCTCGTATCATGTCTTGGGCGTCGAAGACGAGGCGCCCAAAGACAGAGTTAGCCAGCGCTTCCATGGTGAAGTGATGAAGCACATGTAGGTAGTGTTACGGGCATCGTCTGTTACTCGCCGTGAGCGTGGCCCTGGAGGGTGGCGCCGGTGTGGCGGCCCGGCAAAGTACGCGGGTAGGCCGGCGTGGCTTTGTTTGCAGCTAGTCCAGAGACCGCGTTTCTGAAGTGAAGTCATTGAGCACATCTAGGTTGTTTTACGGGCACTGTCTGTTTCTCGCCGTGAGGGTGGCGCCGGTGCGGCGGCCCGACAAAGTGTACGCGGGTAGGCCGGCGTGGCTTTGTTTGCAGCTAGTCCAGAGACCGCGCTTCTTTCTTCTGGCATAGAGCCAGACCGCGTAGCATGGAAGGCATGATGTTGTGGAAAACTGGTGAGAATTACGCTCTGAAATGTTATATAGCGTCTTTCTAATAAATGACATGGAAATCAAACTCTATCTTTTTAACGCTTTGGTTGAGAAGCGCAACGGAATACCGTACCTATGGGTGGGGGGGGGGGGGGGTGAGGGAAGGGGGTTAGTACCAGGTTAGTGAATGCCTGGTATTTGGGTTGGTAAGCTCACTGTATTGACTTGGTACAGATATGGTACAGCATAAGTATAAACCTTGCACAGACATGCTAGTGGGTTAGTTGGAGAATGCGCAACTGTTAGTTGTACCGTTGGTGGCATTGCGAAGTGTATGTAAAGCATTGGTTATTTTATTGTTTTCCAGTTGTTTCCCTTTCGGTTCCTGTAGTGCTTAGCACTAGTATACGCTTTGTTGTCACTTGGTTACTGGATGCTCGCTGGTTGCGGGTTGGTTAAATGACAAAGATTTTGGAACGCAAAGTTTTCCCTTGACATGACTTCGTTTATTAGGTCGTAGTTAGTCAATATTTTTTTCAGTGTCGGAAAAATCGAAAAGGCGAATCCCCATCTTGAGGTGAAAATCCTATTGCAACTCCTTTCATGCCATCCCATTTCACTGCTGCATACTGTGCCGTCCGCCCGTCAGCATTGCGGCACAGCATCACTCCAGGCGCCTACTTCTACTGCCATCTAGGGGCGGCGGCTGGAACTACGGCCCGGGCGCCGGCGCCCTGCAACGCTGCGGCCTAGACGACGGCAAATTAAATGCAAACGGATCAGGATAAAGAAATCAGGATGTAGAATTTCACAGTCCAACATGTATGCAGCATGCAGGCTAAGATTTAGGCCGGTCCCGTGGCTCAATCGGTAGAGCGTTGGACTCCGCGTGATGAGAGCACGCGTTCCTGGTTACAACAGAGCGCGACGGGCGCTTGACGTTTATGGGCCTCCTGACAGGTATGGTTGCGGTTGGTGGCAGACCGTAGCCAGGTCTGCCACCTGGCTACGTTTTTGAGATATTCGCGAAAAACCACAAGGGGGTGTTCAAACCCCCCCCCCCAGCAGGGCGCGGGTTAAGCTTTGGACTTCAAATTCTGCCATAGAACCGGAATTTCGCAATCGGAGGGTAGAGGGCAGGGTCAACGCAACAAGCTTCGCTTAGCTGGGGCTCTGTCCTTGTGAATCCTTCCATTCAAAGGGCTTGGACTAAATTAAAAACGCTTGTGCTCTCTTAAAATGCGAACAATCCTCGATGAAAAAGAGAATAGCCAAAATTTCCGACTCCGAGCAAGGAGAAATAATCACACGTTTTCAGTCACCGTGTAGAACACATGGAAAGAACTCCGTCGTTGCACAGAAACGCAAATCATAAATCACTCATCATGTCTTATCCAATGTCTGCACTCTGCGCTCAAATATGTTGACCACAAATATGTACGCGTTAAAACGAGGGAAAGAGCGGCGAACCCGCAGCTTCTTGGTCACTTTTCCCAGAACATTTAACCCGCGCCCTGCTGGGAGGGGGGGGGGGTGTGTGTTTGAACACCCCCCCTTGTGGTTTTTCGCAAATATCTCAAAAACGTTTTGGTACACCTTATCATACATCAATTCTACACATGTTGTGAAAATTTCAGACCAAGGTCATTCAAGGTCAGGTCACCAGGTCACTTGAAGTGACCTCACCTCATAAAAAGTTTCAATGTCTGTCATAGCTACACCGAGTGACCGATCGCTTTGAAACTTTCAGCGATTGCTAAGAGCAATAGCATGTACAAAATGTATATCTCAGAATTTTGATATCGATGACCTAAGGTCAGGTCAATTTTGCGACCTCCCCATTATAAGTCAATGGGAGAAAATTGAAATGCGCCTCTTTTGGACAAAAGACATTATAAACACTCCCAAACACCGAATTACAAGTGGTTTAGACACACTTAACATGAAAATGGTGTCCGTGACCTTTGTTAACCCGCGAGTTGCTGGGGGGGGGGGGGGGCGTTAAACGCCCGCACTTTTTTCGCCGGGCCATAACATAAAAACGGCGCCGCAGGCGCGCCAAATTTTGGGTACCTGTAGGGAATTGATTGAAGTTTATTGTGACAAAGTTTCAAAAAAATCGGTTGGTAAATTTTTGAGATATCGAGGTTTTAGTGACGTCATGATTTCTGAGTTTTCGACCAAAAACGGCATATGTTCAAAAAATCATATAAAATCACAGAATAAACATACAGACATGCCGTAAACGCCATTAGACTGCCAATACCATGAACAATCAAATGGCTATCTTCGATTATTGATTATCGTTCCGCATTTTCCAAAATCTTGAACTGAATCTTGGCAATTTCTCGTGACTACTTCACGACCATGATACATGCGTTTCTTAAATTGAACTTTTTGAGCCAAACACGTACACATATGATAAAATGAATGTCACCATCGTGTTCTACGCCCCAAATTACCCTTAAAACATATGTCACAGGCTGCGAATATCAGTTTTGATTTTCGGGGATATGTGCCTACCCGGTTGACCTGACCTTGACCCTGACCTATGCTTGACTGACCCCTACATGGACCTGACACTCCTGTAGGCCTTATATGATGGATTGTGCACCGTTTTGACAGAGTCTATGACGAGAGGCGCCCATTGCGAAGTCCTGAAGTCCATGCTACTGAAAGCCCGATTTCAGGTGTTTGACCCGACCTTGACCCGACCTGTGACCTCAAAATTCAACTTAAAAGTACTCATCTGAAGCGTCTCGTCGCGTTCTTTCGTTTGCCGCCTCGTGCGTTTCGCTGCGCCTATTGGTTCTCGAGTTATCGGCTGGGGGCGTTTAACGCCCCCCCCCCCCCAGCAAACGGTGGGTGGTGAAATACCCCAGCAACTGCCGGGTTAATGCCCTGAGGTCATCTTAGGTCACGAATGGTGTCTAACAGTTTTTCGCAAATAACTTTTGATAGAGGCATGCTAGAGCGATGAAAACGCCTTAGATGTGTTCAGCTCGACGATACGGATAGACTGATATGCAGCATGACCTTTTCCGGTCAGGTCATGACCTTGACCTGAGGTCAAATTTTCAAGTTGACCTTTCAAGGTCAAGTTATAATTCATTCGATGCGTCTTGACAAGAGGAACACGATGCCGGTGAAAGTAAGCTCGTACAAGGCTTGGGTCAAAAGTTATTGCAGAAAAACTGTTTCAGAAAAAATCGGCTATTTTTGCAGTTTTTGCCCCCTGCAGGCAAAACCGTTGACGTTAGGTCAAATCTGAGAGAATCACTCAGAAAGGGCGTTAATAGGGCTATCGAATGCGCTTTTCCGCGGCGCTGTAGCTCTATTGGTTCCCGAGTTATGCGTTGGCTTCTTGGAAATTTTCGATATTTGACCTGGAAATCGGCGAAATTTTGCCTTCAATGACCTCTGGTGACCTGACCTTTGACCTGACCAAAAAATTGACCGAAGTGATTTCGTCATTATTTTTGACGCTCTTTCGAACGCCGTCTTCCGCGTATCGCTACGTGGCCCAGGAGCCGAGTTACAAGGGGGGGGTGTTCAAACACCCCGCCCCCCCCCCCAGCAGGGCGTGGAAATCCAGGACCCCCAGCCGGGCGCGGGTTAAAGGAGGATAAATAAGTATAGTGACATTTTCTTATTGAAAACTGAAAGGGCAATGGGCATTGACTCTCATTGTAGTAAACTTACGGTCATGAATGAATAAATGAAGAGGTATTCAAAATTGCCCTGAAAACTCAGAACAATTAATAATATCGAAAGAATAAAAATAAAAGCGAAACTTGTACAACTGACGATTTCCTTTACTCATCAGTCATTCAACTGTGAGCCCGGGCACAATGCCAAATCCCTGACTGTAACGCAGACTGTCTCGCTAATGACGTCATCAAGTAGTCGGCAGATGCCACCACTCAGGTGGGCGGCCGACTAAAGGGACGACAATCACTTGCCAACGAAATGGCAGTCATACAATGGTCGCTTTTTGCCCATCCAATGGCTAATACGTGCAGGTAATTTCGATTTTATGACGACGAAATGACAGCATATATTGCTGCAATGAAAAAGGGAGCTAACATGAGGCATAAGTAGAGTGTAGACCTTGGTCGAGTGGCCGGGTGATCCGAGCCGCTGGCGCCGCAGTGGGTCAGAGCCCAGTGAAGGAATGGTCGGACCCTGCTGCGGCCCAGTGTGGAGTGCCGTCGACGGCAGCAGATGGTCCGAGTCGGCGGTCAGCCCGATCGGACACACTAGCAGCACGGAGCCGGCTGAGCAGTCAGCTGTCACATAAGTCAGCTGCCCCAGCAGTCAGCTGTCCGAGCAGTCAGCTGTCCCAGCATTCAGCTGTCCGTGCAGTCAGCTGTCTGTGCAGTCAGCTGTCCGAGCAGTCAGCTGAGCTGTCTATCGTAGTCAGCGGTCCGTTCACAACGTGCCTTATGAACGGGATGCCGAATATGCACACAGGACTGATTCCTTCTTGTTGGATCACGCAGCGATTTCCGGTAGGCTTTGCTGGCCATCACAAGCTGAATGCGGCTACCGCAAATGCCGGAGAAATTTGGAACCAGCTGGGAAGGCAGATCGGAGCACGGAACCCATCCTGTATGTGCTGGAGGTGTCTTAACAAACGCAGAAACGTCACGAAACGCAGAGCTGTCCAAGCCGTTCAATCTCAACATTCCTTCCATTACGAAACAGCAGCTCTTCCAGCTTCGTCACGGTTTCTCATTACAACTCCACCAATAAAATTAAGAACTATAGCACAGCCAAACAGCTCAAGTACCAACCACTCGAGATCCGAACAGCCGTCTCACCCAGACGCACTACTCACTCTTCTGCGCGCCGCTCCCCGGCGTCGGCTCCTCGGCCGCCGGCCCGCAGCCGCCACCGGCCACCGGCGCCGACACGCGCAGACAGACCGGCCTCCGTCTGCCGTCGGCCCGTCTAAAACAGTCCGCCGGCGCCGGCCGCTGGCACCGGGCCCGGTACGGGGGACGCCGGACCCCGTGGCCGCTGACACACTCGCGAGTCACGACTCCGGCCGACGGCGACCCACCGGCGGCCGTCGGAAAGGGAGAGATCTGTCGATCTCGTCCGGTTTTGGCGTGCAATGAATGGGCTCTCTCAGGAACGACATTATCCACTGGTCAGTCAATACAACTTTGCTTCCAAAAACATTGCGAATGTTTGGCACTACAATTTCCACATTCATCGACGCTCAGCTTGCTAAAACCAATAAGCCAGCAACGGTGCCCCAGATACCAGTAGATACCAGAACCGGAGGAATATTTCGGTATCGCATCGATCATAACTTGAATCATAAACATCTACCACCGATCAGAGTCGCCACTCATCATTAAGATGTGGGAGCCGCAGAATCTCGTTTTCGTTGGGCAAAACAGTAGAAATACGTCACATGACCTATTAGTCTTCAATTCAGCCTACAGCTCTCTCGTCACAGAGGCAGCCGGTTTTTTTTTTCGCCAAGCGAATGTGCCGCCAACGGTCCCATGCCAGTCGTCAAAAAATTATCATGCAAGTGCAACAGCCAATCATCGAGCAAGCTCACCCGGTCGCCGAGCGGCTCGTGACGACGTGTGTGTGTGTGTGTGGGGGGGGGGGGGGATTCGACACGCCGGCCGCCCACGGACCTATGGCTGCTGTCGAGGGCCCCACGAGACGTGCCGGTGGCCATTCGCCGACGCTCACCCAGTTCCCCCGCTCCATTCGTCTGGAGCTGTGCCAAGCGACGTTGACGCATGCCTGACGGCCTAGTCCCGCCCATATGGGCCCCCTCCCTACCGTCAGTGGCGCTAAAGAATGCCTGGGGAGGGTAGGCTAGGAATATGGACCTTTACGGGAAAATAGCAGTGGCCCTTCAAACATTGCCGAGTAAAATAGAACAAACTTGGTGTTGCCGGCAACATCCAACACGCAGTTGAAACACGCTGCTGCATTTTGTATTAACTGGTGCGCCAAACTAGAGCGACGTACGTATGAGCACTTTTCAAATGTAAAGCATAAATAAAGTTGCCTGGGGCAGTAAAAGAGACCGTACATACAAAATAAGTTAGTAGGTAAACCTACGCCAAATTAGCGCTACAAATAATAGACATGACACAAGGTAAAGCTGACATTTGACAAGCCGTCTTATCCACATCATCGCGACGAGAAAGCTTCTTTTATGGACCTCAAACGCCAAGGAGACGGAGACAAGTGAAACAATGCTCGTTTTTGCAAGTTAGGTCCTCCATTCGGCATTCACAATAACAATATGAAAGTTCGCCATAGCGGCGTAGTCCGACATGCAAATCTTCTACTGATGCAATTCATGTTTGTTACCTACTTAAAACAAAAGGGATATGATGTCTAACTAACATATGTAGCTGCCATAGTTTTCAGCTGCAGACTATGCCGACTATGCCTACAAATGAGTGAGGTGTGCCTGCAGCATCAAGTGCAGTATGAGCACTGAGCGTGAGGCTGGATAATGTCCCATACCATTTCAATTTGTGCATTGTTCTGGGCAGGAAGGTCAAAAGTTGACCTGGTTGACCAGAAGCAAGACCAGAAGCAAGAAACATGAGAGGCCGTTTCTTGCTTAACACACTGGATAACCCAGTTATGGAGGTGGAGAAGATGTTGCAAATTTGCCCATTGACCTAATACAAATAATTGGGACAAAATAACCCAAAAATCAAACAGACAAGATGAAGGTGGGGATGTTTGAGAAACATGTGAAACTACTTTTGGGCCATTGGAGTAAGAATTCAAAAATCAGGCAAAAATCACACTATGTATAACAAATAACATGCCAAGCGGAGAGTCTGTTTCTACTCACATTCTGTCCTGCTCTGGTGTCAGGTGTTCTGTCGGTTGGCCATCTGCCTGTTGCCTCAGGGAAAACCTTCTCGGATACACTGGCTTCCGACTCCGCAGCATATCTGCTGTTTGTGACCCACTCAAATCACCACACCTGTGAAAATGGTAGTCATACATATCAGGCAACCACATCAATATATCAATATGTTTATACTCCATATCAATATATACATATACCGTAAGGTGGGGCTATTTGAGACAGTGGGACTATTTGAGACAGTATTTAAAATAGTTATGAAATAAAAACCGTTTGAAATATGTGCTTAATTTTTACTCAGTCAATTTACTACTCGATTCCACACCTTCCTGAGCAAAATTATCACAAAAAATTAAACGATCTTCATTCCAGTCGGGGAAACCATGGTAAAATCTGCTATTTTTAGCAGTCTGCTATTTTTAACAGAAATCTGCCAAAAATGGGTACGCATGTGACGTCATCGTACCCAAATATAGCAGATTTGGGTACGGCCCCATACAAAAGCAGATCTGCACCCTAATTGAAGCAAATGCGCATCAAATGGCTGGCAGATTCATGATGAGAATAGTGCTGAGAGTGATCTCTGCTATTTTTGTTCAGATCCGACTATTTTCAAATTCATTATTTGAAAATAGTCGGATCTGAATGAAAATATCAGAGGACATTCTCAGCACTATTCTAGTCATGAATCTGCCAGGCATTTGATGCGCATTTGCTTCAATTAGGGTGCAGATCTGCTTTTGTATGGGGCCGTACCCAAATCTGCTATATTTGGGTACGATGACGTCACATGCGTACCCATTTTTGGCAGATTTCTGTTAAAAATAGCAGACTGCTAAAAATAGCAGATTTTACCATAGTTTCCCCGACTGATTCCATAGCGGTTTCAAATACTGTCTCAAATAGCCCCACTTTACGGTATTATACCCAAGATGCAGGCTAATGCCAACAGCTACCTACCTACTTGAACCAATAAGATAAAAATTGAAGTATTTACCTTCACAATTTGCAGCAGACAAGTTTTGATGGATTCTTATGTGTATTTTGATTTATAATGCGGTTGGGCCAATAACGTGCCACATGTCATCAGACAAGAAGAACCACACGAAACCCACAGGCCACAGCCAACCCAGCGTAAACAAATGAGCGCACCAGAATAGTGTTCGGTAATAATCGTTTTATCAGCATGCTGCCGAGTGGCTGGCGCTTCCCGTTCTCCCATTGGTGAAAAGTACGTGGGCTTTGCTTTCCACCAATAAGAAGCCGATAAATACCGATTAGTTACCAGGCAACTTGTCGGCAGAAAGGTAGTCGAACAGAACTATGAATGAATGAATGTGTTTTTCCTCGACCCCACTCGGGGTATCACGGTAGATGTAGATGTAGATGTAGATCGGGGTATAGCCTTTATAACGGCACCCCTTGTTTCTTCACTGTCACTTAAGCCATGAATATGGATGCTACGACTAAGCAGGTTGACTAAGCACTAAGCGTAAACAAAATATGAGCGTGCGTGCCTGGAATTTGCTACTAGCGGGGGTTGGACAATACAAAAATTACAACAATAAGCGGTCCATTCTTCTTCAGATTTATACGCCTGCAGTTGCATTGGCTTGCTTCAAGCTTATTCTCCGCCTTCTTGCTTTCCACATATTGTACAGAATCTCTTTTTTAACTTCTATCTCTTCAGGTTCGAACAAAAACTTCCCAATAATCATTGCTTGGTTTTCCTGCATAGGCCTTTGTAATAAAGTTGCTTTTCTCCTCTCTTCGGTTATCTCGTCATCTGTGCATTCTAGCAAAAAATGTTCCGTATTTTCTATCTCACTTCCACATAGATCACATTCTGTGCTTTGTCCAATGTGTCTTTTCCGGTCATTCAGTGGGAGGGTTGCAGTTCGAGCCTTGAATAATATTATTGATGATGGCCTGTTGTCATACACTAAATCTTCCTTGACTTCATTTTTCCATTCTCGGTATAATGTTAGGCTTGTCTTATTTTGTACTTCTTCATTCCATCTCTCACTGTCTAATTGCCTTGCTTTCTTCACTAACTCTTGTCTTGTCATTCTTTGCATATCATCTGCAATTCCAAATGCTTCAGCATATTTGAGATTTGTTTTTGTCCAGTTACTTCTTGTGTGCGTTTTCATTTCTTCTATGATGTTCTTCAGAAGCTCATTTTCTCTCATCTGTATATTCTTGAGATACATGAGTCGTCCTTTCATTAGTCTTGTTTTCATTTCTGATGCTCCTATTTCTCCTCTCAGTGAACAGATAGGTGCATAGATAGGAGCTCCTAGTATGCTTCGGTAGACCTTGTTCTCTTGTCTTTGGAGATGTCTGATCTCGGAATCTGTCAAACTGATAACGCTTGATCCATATAATATTGATGGTATTGCTACACTTTTCCAGAAAGTTTTCCCAATCAGTAATCTTGAACAGCTTTTGTATATGATTGGTAGAGTAAGATTTGCCATCTTGCATGCTTTTTCCATCATTTTTCTCTTCTGCTCCTTAAACATATCTCTTTTGTTCACAATATCAATGCCCAAATATCTTATACTTTCCTGTACCTGTATTCCTGATATGTTGTCAGGTTTCTCCTTCATGTTCCATATTATTGCACAACTTTTGTCTTTGTTGATTTCTAGTCCACAGCTTCTGCTCACTTCACTTATTATCTTCAGGTTACGTTTGGCGTCATCTACCGTTTGTGACATTACCAGTCCATCGTCAGCATAGAAAAGCACATGTATATTAAATATATCATTTATAAAACCTCTCCCTTTCTTCTCTATTTCTGTTGTTATGATGTATGTCACCAACTTAAAAAGTGTTGTCGAACCAGTACAACCTTGTCTTATTCCACTTGTCACTTCAATAGTTTGTTTTACTGCTTCATTCAGTTCCACCACTGTTTCATCCCCATTGTAAATTTCAGCAATAGTATCAATCACTAATGGGTCTATCTTATATTTCTTCATATTGTCAACAAGTACATCTCTTCGAATAGAATCGTATGCTTTCTTGTAGTCTATTGATATCAAGATGAGTGGCTTTTTGCTTTTGAAGCTTTCTTCCACGCAATATTGCACAATGAGCAAGTTGTCTTCAACTCTTCCTCCTGGAGTGAATCCTGCTTGTGTTTCTTTCATTTCATTATTCTCTAGCAGATGCTTTTCTATCTTATCTTTGATCATGCTCATAAATAGTTTGTATGATACGTTTGTTAGTGCTATTGGTCTAAGATCCTTTGCAACAGGCTTCTTCTTCTTTGGCAACATTCTTGTTCTTGATTTCTTCCATTCTCGTGGGACATTCTTTTCATTCAGGCTCTTGTTCATGCATTTGTGCAGTGTTCTTAGACATTTGTCACTTTTCAGTATAACCTTATACATTTCTGGCTTTAGCCCATCTGGGCCGGCTGCTGTTCTTCCTTTCAATCTTTTCAGAGTACTTTTCAGCTCCTCTATATCAAAAAGACTGCTCTCCATTCGTCTTATCTCATTTTGAGGCATTCTCGCTATCATATCCATATGTTCTCTCAGTTGTCCTTGAGCATCGTTCTGTTCTGCTGTTTCGATTTCCTCTTTGTAACGGTGACAAATACGGTGATCTCATCTGGATTTGGTCACGTGATCATTTTCGAGCGCAGCGCACGTGCAGTTGTGGCGAGGGCACTTCCAGAAATTCTGGATCCATGCGATTTTGGAGCCAATGTAAAGTCTATGGGAAAATGGTTCATTTTTATTTGTTTTTCTTATCACACCTAAACTTTCAAGTTTTTCTCAAAGATTCACCCTGATTCATGTGTAGAATTGATTGGTCTTTAATATGGTATCAATTTTAGATTTTTATCGGATAATTTCAAAAATGACTTACCATTTGAACTACAAAAAGAGGTGATTGCGACCAAGGATTGCGGCCGCCATATTATGTCAATAGGAAATTACGTTTTGTTGGGTATCTTCATTTAGGTAAACCGTTCTTGAAGCTAGTAGCTTAGCTAGTGGATGATTCATCTGTAAAATTTGTTGATTTTTTTGTATTGTGTATTGTTTATGCTTTTATGAAATAATAATTAAATAAGTTGAATCTAACACGACAACGGCCCCCACGTCCTGCAAGCTATCGTAGCATTGGGCTGTACTGTAACTATATGAAACCAGACAAAGTTTGAATCGTGACTGTGGTAAAAGTTTTTAAGCGAAAACAACGAAAATCGCGTTACCGTGCCTGACTGTTGGAGACTGTTGCAAGACCTATTTGATTTGAGCATAAGGTTATCCCTATTTTGTCATTAAAATACACCAACCTCATTTTGAGTCGAAGGTAGTTGTACAGCTTCACCGACATGCTAGCCCGCATCCCCAATGCCTTGGTCAGGCTGTCGTCGTCCCAGGTCTTTGGACGCTTGCCCGTCTTCAGAGCTCGAAGCTGTAACACGGTGTTGTACCAAGGTTACGCACACATTCATCGTATAGACGATTATAGATTACGATAAAAGTGTAGATTCACTGACAGTTCTCATGAATTGCTCTTCAAACTATAAAGAATAGTACATCATTCCACTTTTAAACAGATGCTGTCCATACATAAAAAAATAAAAGGCCACAGAAGGCACAGTAAAAAACATCATGCAGCACAGCTTATCCCAGATCGCATCCATGTTCCATATCCATATTACATATCCATATATCCATACTGCCTAGCATGACTTGCATAAATTATCAGTGTCGGCATAGTAGTTCAAATGTTAAATTATGCAATTATATAACATTATATTTTATAGTGGAACCAGGTGGACACAGTACGTATTTATTTACCTGTGAAACGGTTAGGACTTTCAGCATGTTGGTGTCCTCTTCCTGCGTCCTCTTCTTGGTTGCAGCCAGCTGAAGTTCGAGTTCGTCAACCCGGTGCTCCAGCTCCTCCATCACCACCTCTGCAGCAGCTGGAGCCTGGCAGGTACTACAGCGCTCTTCTCCGCGCTCGTCGACAATGAGACCACCGGCCTGGGGCAGCACGGCGGTCTCAGGTGCGCCGGCCTGGGGCAGCTCCGCGGTCTCCGGTGTTCCGCCTCCGGCCTGGGGCAGATCCGCGGTCTCCGGTGTTCCGCCTCCGGCCTGGGGCAGCTCCGCGGTCTCCGGTGTTCCGCCTCCGGCCTGGGGCAGCTCCGCGGTCTCCGGTGTTCCGCCTCCGGCCTGAGGCAGCTCCGCGGTCTCCGGTGTTCCGCCTCCGGCCTGGGGCAGCTCCGCGGTCTCCGGTGTTCCGCCTCCGGCCTGGGGCAGCTCCGCGGTCTCCGGTGTTCCGCCTCCGGCCTGGGGCAGCTCCGCGGTCTCCGGTGTTCCGCCTCCGGCCTGGGGCAGCTCCGCGGTCTCCGGTGTTCCGCCTCCGGCCTGGGGCAGCTCCGCGGTCTCCGGTGTTCCGCCTCCGGCCTGGGGCAGCTCCGCGGTCTCCGGTGCACCGGTGTTGTTGGCGCCAGATCCTTGGCTAGGAAAAAAAACAGAACCAAACAGGTCACATTCTGAATATGATAATATACAGAGCCAACACCTCAACTTAATACATTAATTGAAATAAGCAGTGAACTGTAAGGTGAAAATAACATGTTTATGCTTCCAATTGCCACATCAACATTGACAGTAGGTAAAAATGTGCCAAATAAAAGTGTTCCTGCAACACTTTACAAGATAAGTGCTTTACGTACCGCAAAATATCCACCCAGCCTAGATTAAGGTCACAAGTTTAAAAGCAGCTGCAGGCTTCAGACGTCATGAAAACTTCATGTTATTATATGAAACTAAATGACATTAACACAGTGTTTATTCTTAAGTTCCCAACTGAAAGTGAACATGTTAGGACAGCATTCTTGAGTAACCATCCAACTAATATTTACTTACCCAAACAGCACTCCTTGGTGACCATTGTACTCAAAGAGTGTTGGCACGGATTCTCCAGGGGCGAAGTGGCAGGAGCACAGCCTGGAGCCACTGGTTGGCTCTGTGTCTTTCCTCCTGCAGGGAAAAATATATGTGTGATGTCAGATGTGACTGGTAACTGCATGTGATAAAACTGGCAATATTATACAAAGTTATAAACAGCGCAAGCAAACTGCTCTTTTACCTAGTTTGTAGGCATATGAGACCTCACAAAAATATAGGTACAGTTGAAATTGAGCAACAATATATTTTGAATGTTACTTTTTATTATATTGACCATGAATATCACTATAAGTGCTCAGATGCAAAAGGCAAAGATGAACATGAAAGTCATCTCTGTTTGCTTTGTAGTGTTGACTTAAAGAACATGCTACATTAATAACTACATGGTAATCTGCAGACATGTGCACGGATCCCAGACAACCAATCACGGAAATCGAGATGGCCATTAGATTGACGGTTTTCAAGCATGAAATTATGGTGGAAAACATGGCTCATAGAAGCCTCTCAATGAACCAACTATTTTGCATTCCTTCAGGGTTAACAGTTCTGAGAAAATCCCTCAAGATCCATCTCGGATCCATGATTCGTGACCGTGGATCCGAGATGGATCTTGAGGGATTTTCTCAGAACTGTGAACTCTGAGGGAATGCAAAATAGTTGGTTCGTTGAGAGACATCTATTAGCCATGTTTTCCATCATAATTCCACGCTTAAAGACCACTAATCTAGTGGTCATCTTGATTTTCGTGTTTGGTCGTCTGGGATCCGTGCCCATGTCTGGTAATCTGCTTCTCTTGCTCTAAGATTCTTACCTGATATTATTTATCCAGCTCAACATTTTCTTTCTGGACTTTGGAAACCTCTTCAGTGAGCATCCATGACGATCACCATGGCGATGACTACAACCTGGTGCAAAGCACCCTGTCATCGTTACGTTAAAAGTGAATGATATTAAGTGATAAATGATAATCAAAGACTCTGAAAAAAGAAGATCAGCATTAGTACATATGTCTTGTTGTTTCCAAAGCTTAAGTATGATTCTCCATGTTGCAGGAGTTTGATGGCTTTAACAATAGCTTTGAATGACACCAAAATATGGTTAATATTTCAAGGCAACATCCCACCTTTGACATTCCCTGCTTGGAATGCTGAGGGCTGTTCACGGGCCCTGTGTGCGGTTGGCCCATACACAACCTCAAGCTCCGCCCACTGCATCCCTACCTCAGTGGTCAGCCTTCCGTCACCGCACACAGCGACCGCTGTGGCCGGTCGGGACTGGCACGCAGCCATGTCCCGACTGGCCACAGCAGCCATGACGTCAGAACCGCCTACCCATCCCCTACCCCACGCCTGCTGCACACACTGCACACACCGCACTCAGCAGTGTGCGGTGCCCGTGAACCCCCCTCTGTTAAGCACACTATGAAATTGACAGAGATGGTAACATAAACTGAAAATGTTACCTTCATTATTACAAAATAAACAATTCCCATTAATTTCATTATTACGTCACTGCTCACAGCAAAGCTCTTTCAGCCAATCAAACTCCTTGTGCAGAAACTCACACTTTACATTATTGCTCATTATATTTCATTGAAGCATTGTAAGAAGGGCTGTAGCCAAATTCTCTACCCTGTTTAGCTAATGCTTAAAATGCCTCCAAATTTTCATTCTATCTTTTGTGTCTGTTAACAATTAATAAAGGCAATGTTCCAAGAAAACAATGGCAATTATGTTCAAATGGAAACCCCTAATTTTGACAATAGGTAACGGTATGATAACCCATTGCTGCAAGAATATGTAAAGTGAACTTTGATTGGGTCAAACATTGATATATACTCAAAAGCAATAGTGCATGGCGTTGACCTATAATCACATTAGTAATAAATTGATGCACAACTGCAACAGTAATAGCAAAACCGATGAGCAATAACCCAATCTTGATCTGGCACTAACCAATATGCATGAGTATCATACTATATATCACATGGTACATCAACATAGAAAACTCCTGAGCATAACTAAAATTATCAGAATGTATATCAAGAATAATAATCAATAATAATCGAGGACCCAGACTATCATCGCCCTTACACATTCATCACTCCCCATGTCCACGCACAGACTGTTTACCTCGTGTTCGTAGTCTCCCGGACGACGAAGATTCTACGCCGTTCGGCCAATTACGTTCAAGATCAGCGGGGTTTGGCCGCGGTTCTCGAACGCTATTGGCCAGATTACTCAGAATCTTCATCGTCCGGAAAACTGCGAACACGGGGCTACATTTTTCGCTACGGTAACAAAAGCGCCAGAGTTGACTACCAGAGCGCTGTTCGGCAGCCGGCTATTTTGTGTGCAGGGTATGACGCGTTCCGCGAGCCGACGTCACGGGCGATGACGTCGGCTCGCGCGCGAGCCGAGCGCCAACGACAAACTAACGGGAACCCTCGGACACCCTCGGGGCATAAACCGCGGAGTAGCATATTGAGCGAGTCTTATAAGGGAAATTCATATATTTTCGTTTCTCAAATGATAATCAGGGTGTCTCTTACCTTTTTACGTATCATTTAGGCTTACCTAACACTTCAGTTGCCAAATATCTGCAATTTATTCAAACGAAGGTATTTTCAGTAAATATCAATGCTATAGACCGAAATCTTTTGAATCAAAACTCCAACCAATAGAAATAAAAATAACTTATTTTATTCCAACCATTTCCTCCAAATTAACAACATAAAAACTCACTTTTACACACATCATTCATAATAAAGCATACTAACACGCCGCTTTAGACAATTGCGGCGTCGAGTGGCGCGCTGCTAGCGCTCTTTTTCGATCGCAGAGACCCTGCACGCGCGCGAGCACACTACGTCACGTCCGGGGGGCACAGGTACATGAAAAATCGCAGTGACGTAACACTTTTCTCGCTTCTCATTGGTCAATAGCCCGTTGCCGGGGTAACGTGCACGTATGTGAGCGCGGGCAAGAGTACTAGCCGGCTGCCGATCAGGGCTCTGAGCCCTGATCCGAAGGTCAAATGGGTCACGTGACTGTGCAGTTCAGATGGACAACACCGCGGGGTATGGGAGCACGCGCTTCGATCAGCATACCAGCATGCGGCGGCTAAATTATTTAATCTATATTATAAATCCTAAAAAGTCCGCCGTCGGGGTTACGCCCAAAAAGGCTTATTGCGGCGCCGTCGATTGACGCAGGAGGGTGAAATTTTCACGGCTCGTGGGTCACGTCATTCAACAGGTCGTATTAAATTTTGGGCACGATGCGGCCGGGGGTGCGCCCGTGGCGCGTGCTCACGTGCGCCATAGGGTTAGCATTAGAATCGGCATAAACACTTATTAAACAGGCTATTGCTCGGAAACGGTGAGGGCTACGGGGATGAAATTTTCACGCCAAGTCGAGCGCGTGCACTCATTTGTGGTATTAAATTTTCGAGGGTGTGGGTTCAGCGGTGTGCACGTGGTGGGGCCGCGACCGGTGCCGAGCAGAGGGCACGTGCTTTAGGCTCAGTTGTTCGCTTGGAAAACTGAGTGAAAAGCATCAGAGCCGGGAGGTCATTGACCTTTGACAACGAAGGCCGACACAAGGCACCGCTCGCCAAGGGGATTCGCCAGTAAATACAATTAATTTGTTTTTGCAATATCTCAGCCGTTTCTGGCCCGATTTAGCTGAAACTTGGACTGTCGGTGGTAGTGTAGTGTAGGGTAGGGTAGGATAGGGTAGGGTAGGGTAGGGTAGGGTAGGGTAGGGTAGGGGTAGGGTAGGGTAGGGTAGGGTAGGGTAGGGTAGGGTATGGTAGGGTAGGGTATGATAGGGTAGGGTAGGTTAGGGTAGTGTAGGGGTAGGGTAGGGTAGGGTAGGGTAGGGTAGGGTAGGGGTAGGGTAGGTAGGAGTAGGGTAGAGTAGGAGTAGGGTAGAGTAGGGTAGGCGGGCGGGCGTGCGTTGCGGGCGTTTTTTGCGGCGGTATTTGCGTTTTTTGCGGTGTTTGTGTTTGGTGGCGGGCGGGCGGGCGTTGCGGGTGTTTTTGCGGTGTCTGCGTTTGGCGGCGGACGGCCGTTTTTTGCGGCGGTTTGCGGCGGGCGGCCGTTTTTTGCGGTTTGCGGCGGGCGGCCGTTTTTTTGCGGCGTTTTGCGGTTGCCGGCGGCCGGCCGTTATTTGCGGTGTTGCGGTTTGCGGCGGGCGGCCGTTTTTTGCGGCGTTTCGCGGTTGGCGGCGGGCGATGCGGGCTTTTTTGCGGCGGCGGTGTTTGCGTTTTTTGCGGTGTTTGCGTTTTGCGGCGGACGGGCGTTTTTTGCGGCTTTTTTTGCGTTTTTCTGCGGTTTTCGACGGGCGGGCGATTGTTTCTTTTTTGCGAAGTTTGCGTTGGCGTTTTGCGCGTTTTGCGGTGTTTGCGTTTTGCGGCGGGCGGGCGGTTTTTCACAATTCAAGTCCCAACCTTCGGATCCGCAGTGCTGTTCGACAAGCGCTGCCCGGGCCCACCTTACAGTTTAATTAAAAACAGCTACCCAAATCTACCCAAATAATACAGATAAAAATAAAAGTCAATCACCCAAACTAATGCACCCGTAACATAACATAAATCAAAACATATAGTTATCGCGTAAACCTGTACCTCTAGTCTACTATTATAAATCTTAAAAAGTCCGCCGTCGGGGTTACGCCCAAAAAGGCTTATTGCGGCGCCGTCGATTGACGCAGGAGGGTGAAATTTTCACGGCTCGTGGGTCACGTCATTCAACAGGTCGTATTAAATTTTGGGCACGATGCGGCCGGGGGTGCGCCCGTGGCGCGTGCTCACGTGGTGTGCCATAGGGTTTACACTAGAATCGGCAACAGACTATTGCTCGGAAACGGTAAGGGCTACGGGGCTGAAATTTTCACGCCAAGTCGAGCGCGTGCACTCATTTGTCGTATTAAATTTTCGAGGGTGTGGGTTCAGCGGTGTGCACGTGGTAGGGCCGCGACCGGCGCCGAGCAGAGGGCACGTGCTTTAGGCTCAGTTGTTCGCTTAAAAAACTGAGTGGAAACAATGCCGGGAGGTCATTGACCTTTGACAACGAAGTCCGACACAAGGCACCGCTCGCCAAGGGGATTCGCCAGTAAATACAATTAATTTGTTTTTGCAATATCTCAGCCGTTTCTGGGCCGATTTAGCTGAAACTTGGACTGTCGGTGGTAGTGTAGGGTAGGGTAGGGTAGGGTAGGGTAGGGTAGTAGGGTATGGTAGGGAGTAGGGTAGGGTAGGGTAGTGTAGGGCAGGGTAGTAGGGTAGGGGTAGGGTAGGGTAGGGTAGGGTAGGGTAGGGTAGTAGGGTAGGATAGGGTAGGGTATAGTATGGTAGGGTAGTAGGGTAGGGTATGGTAGGGTAGAGTAGGGTAGGGTAGGGTATGGTAGGGTAGAGTAGGGTAGGGTAGGGTAGAGTTAGGTAGGGTAGGGTAGGGTAGGATAGTAGGGTAGGATAGTAGGGTAGGGTAGGGTAGGGTAGGGTAGGGTAGAATAGGGCAGGTAGGGTAGGGTAGGGTAGGGGTAGGGTAGGGTAGGGTAGGGGTAGGGTAGGTTAGGGTAGGGACTAGGGTAGGGTAGGATAGGGTAGGGTAGGGTAGGGTAGTAGGGTAGGGTATGGTAGGGTAGAGTTAGGTTGGGTAGGGAAGGGTAGGGTAAGGTAGGGTAGTAGGGTAGGTTAGGATAGTAGGGTAGGGTAGGGTAGGGTAGGGTAGGGTAGAGTAGGGTAGGGTAGGGGTAGGGTAGGGGTAGGGTTGTGCTCAAAAAGGGCCCAACATACAAAACACTTGACACTCCGCAACTACCACCATCCCTTACAGTTAAATTAAAAACAGCTACCCAAATCTACCCAAATAATACAGCTAAAAATACAAGTCAATCACCCAAACGAATGCACCCGTAACATAACATAACTCAAAACATACAGTTATCGCGTAAACCTGTACCTCTAGGTACATGAAATGGTACATGGGGCACAGGTACATGAAAAATCGCAGTGACGTAACACTTTTCTCGCTTCTCATTGGTCAATAGAGCACGCGCTTCGATCAGCATACCAGCATGCGGCGGCTAAATTATTTAATGTGGAATAAATCAAGACGTCGACCGGGCCCAAATACAGAACCCTGCAGGGCCTTAGCGCTGTTCGGCAGCCGGCTATTTTTTGTGCAGGGTATGACGTATTTCGCGAGCCG